CTGCCTGCAATGCATGCACCCTTACATGTGCAGCCTTTCTGGTATTTTCATGTGCTGGGAGATGTGCGGGCATGGGGGCCCATGTGCCCCATGCCATTTGAGTGCCCGGCGGCGGCGCTGCCTGCCGCCGGGAGCCCGCACCAGCATCGGCACCCGTCGGCCTGGCAGGCCTAAGCTGCTAAGGATCCCCACGTCCCCCACCACGTTGTGGGGGTTGCGTGTCCGGCAGGACGGGGAGCGGGGCCAGGGTGGGGTGACCCTGGGACGCTCAGCTGGGGGGAGGGTGGTCGGAGCCATGGAGAGGGTGCTCCATGGTCCACCCCCTCTCTTGATGCCCCTTGATCACGTGTGCCCCCTGCCCAAGGTCTGCTCACGCGGCCTATCATAGCGGGGTGACTGTAACACCTGGGCTATCCCACCCCGAGGGCTTTTTGTTCGGCATACCGGCCGCCGCAAGAAGGAGGCTCGCGGCGGCTAGCAACAAGAGGAGCCGCAAGAACATGAAAGAAAAGCAAGGATGGACGAAATCGCGTGTGCAAGGCTGACACAGGAAAGTGGCTGGGACCCAAGGTGGAAAGCGCAAGGGTAACCGAAAAACTTGTTAGATCCACGTTCGCGGTCTCCCTTCTATGTTATTCGCCTGCAATGGAGCGCACTAAGGTTGCCTTCGTCAGTGCCGGCCAACGGGCCAGCAAGCCGCAAGTGCGCTTTGCTTTGTTCGAGTCCCCCGACCCCCAAGGCCAACACCTGAATGGCTTTCGCAAGACTGTGAATGGCGTTGCGCGAGCCGTGGGTGCCTATTCACCCTCGGCTTTGCAGCTGTCACTCGACTCAAATGGAGAGGAGGTTGTGGACTCGGACATAGCCTACCACATGCTTCGCCAATGGCGCAAAAACGCAAGTGCTGACGACTTTGAGGTGGATGAGAACCAGCGGCCCACTTTGTTTTACAACATCCTCCCGGTGTGCCGCCGCCGCCGCCGCCGACGCTGCCATTTTGGATAATTGGAGAGTTGGACCACCAATATGTCCCATTAAGAGGGATGAACTGCCATTGCAACTTGCTTGTGTGGGCTTACAGTCTGGTTTCAGCAAGAACAAGCTTGCAGCACAGACTTTGTTGTTCGAGCAAGGAGGGATGAAGCAGTAGAACAACAGGCAGGACAGGCCAACTGACAGGTCACCGAGCGTTTAGTGTGTGAGCGGGCAGACAGTACTGCATGTCGTGGAGCAGGTGTGGTGCGGTAAGAGCAAAGGGGGTGGACATGAGAGTGGGGGTTCAGGGCGAGACTGCAGGCAGCGCAACGGTGGCGGTCAGCCAGCGCTGGTGACAGGCGGCAGCAAAGGCGGCGAGGCGGCACGGTTTCTGGCGGAGGAAGCGGTGGGGAGGATGGGGCTCAGCAAACAGGTCAGGAAAGTTGAGGCGCAGCGGGGCGTAAAGGGGGCAGGTGAGCAGCATGTGGGGGGCATCTTCAATGCCGTCGTGAGTGGGGGCAGACTCGCTGCTCTCGGGGGCGCCGCGTCCAGCGGCCGGTCTCTTCCGCGCCCCAATGCGACCCGGTGCGCAGCTGCGCCAGCGCCTCGCGGTCCTGCCGACGCCGTACTGCATCCAGGTAGGTCTCGCGCTGCCCAAACATGGCGGGCGCCAGGTTGAGGGCGCCCACCACGTTGTGCACATAGTGCTCCAGCCGGCTGGCGCCGCCC